CCCTAAACCCTGAACCCTAAATGCTTCAGAGCTGAGATTGTCCAGATCCTCATTGGCTTCGCTTGGATTCTGATCTGGATTGTGTGTGCATCTTTCCTTCTCTCCCAAGTCCCCGCAGATTATACGCTGCTGCCTGAGTCGTCGTGTTGAGGGAGGTGCAGTCATGTGCGCCGCCTGCAACTGTGGAGTTGTGGGGGATGCATCAGGCCAACTGACGCGTTTGCGACATATGAAGAAGCGCTTCTTGGCAAAGGGAGTGAGTCCTAAGTCCCCTTGCGCCTTCATGTCCTCTTGTCGTTCACGGGAGGGAGCTGGAACAGCAGATTCCGTGCGACTTTCACCCCTAAACCCTAAACCCTAAACCAGAGTCCACAGAACAAGCAAACTTAAACCCGGTGTTCTCCAAGGTGGGGAAACGACACAACGCCCGGGCTTTGCACGGACAAGTGGCCACAAAGCACCGTTTGGAAGTACGAGGCCCGCTGAGCTAGACTGCAGTGTACCGTACTTTACCATAATTTTTGTATAGCAGAATATATTATAGTATAGCTATAACATATCATGGCCTATACAGTATAACATATCATGACATATCATGACACAGCATAACCTAACGTAGCTTAATGTAATGTAATGCAATGTAATAAAGTCTAGTAGAATGGAGAGCTATCCTGGTGACTTTGTCATACGAGAATGGCATCAACTTCTGTCTTCGTTGAGGAGAGCGTGAGAACGGAGACACAACGGAGATCAGTTTGCTTCGCAGACTCTGCCTGGCTGTAAAGCCGCAGCCCCGTGATGCAGAAGGGAAGGATGAGTTTGCTGTCAGAGTTGCAGTTCTCTGATCCCTAAACTTTGCCCTGAACTCTCAGCATCCCTCAGCCCCAAGCCACAAAAGACGTGCAACCCCAAAACCCCAGCCCCCCTAGCCCACAAGCGCCCGTGGTGCAGGGGAACGTCAGCTCGGCCAACGACACTTGCACCGGGGCCTTTGGAGACACGACGGGCCTGGTGCAGGGCACTCAGAGCGCAATGAGAGCCGAGAGCTATGCGAACTTCCCAAAACTTCCTGTTTTCCTGGAAGGGGCTCCCGAAGGGGTTCCATAAGGGTTCCTAGCCCTGTTACCATAATGGCTCTTTGTGGGGTCGTGGCTTCAAGTGACTTCCAGGTCGTAGCTTCCGGAAAGCGCAAGCAGTTCTTAGTAGCGCCTCGAGGTGCGGAGGAGGCTGTTTCGCACCATTTTCTGGGGCCCCTGCTCAGAGCCTCATGAAAACTCGGCTCGAATCCCCTCAGCCCGAAGTCCCTTGAAACAGCAGCACAGGGTTTAGGGTGTAGATGCTTGCCATCTTAGAAATAACGGTCACTACCCGAGTACCATCGGGGTTGCTATAACGGCCAGTCTAAGGGGGTGCTACACGGGTTGCTAGAAGGGGACGGATAAGGCTAAGCATAGGGATTGAATAAGAGGCGACTAGAAGGCTTCTATAGAACCCTCATAGATACTCTTATAATAACATTTAGCTGCATACCGTTATAGATACCTCATAATTATTATAAGAACCTTTAGCTACATACCCCCATAGATACCCTTTTTGTTGTTTTTCGAACCTTTAGCTACATGGGCTACAAAACGAGTTGCCAGAGCCCCAAGCTCCAGCTCAGGCCTCGGTGCTGGAGATGTTCTCCACCTCGCTACACCTTCGACACCAAGTTTGCAGCAGTGGCTCTGTATGCATTCAGTATGCCGGCTTAGGGTTCGGGGTTTAGGGTTTAGGGTTTAGGGTTTAGGGTTGAGGGTTTATGTTCACGGTTCATCAGAAGCTTCTGTGCAACCGTCTAGGAGCTGAGACGTCCCCCGGTGCTTTGTAGGATCGATTTCACCCGTCATGCGATGAAGAGCCCGATCAAGAACCATGGATCTCCGAATCCTTTTAAAGGCAGCTCAAAGCAGGGGTTTAGGGTTTAGGGTTTAGGGTTTGGGGTTTAGGGTTTAGGGAGGATAGGCAGGGACCACAAGTTCGAGCCTAACTAGAAGGATCCTGATGACAAGAACTCATCGAGAAGGTACCCCCATGTTCTGGAACCACTTAGGATCTGTTTTTAGAAGCCTAGCCCCACGCAAAGCCCTGCACCCGAAGCCCCAAAACCCACTAAACCCTAAACCCTAAATCTCAAACCCCCT